GAGCATGTCACACCCATAATGCTTTGTGCACGACCCTAACGCGCACGACCAGCACTCGCCCCATTTTTGGCGTGCTTTTTTCGCCCTCCCCAGGCTCCAGAGGATTTATAGGAGCCTGGGGAGGGCGAAAACAGCCTCCCCCTCCCCCCAGAGGCTTCAGGAGCTTCCCTGAGGTCACTTCTGGTTTGCTTGTAGGGTCGTTTTTTGCCCTCTGGAGCCTTTAGGGAAGCCTCCTGAAGGCTAAAACCGTTCCCTAACTTCCCTAAGGTTCTCTAACTTCCGGTTTGCCCATAGGGCTGGTTTTTCATGCTCTGGAGGCTTTAGCAAAAAATGGCCTCAAAAGAAGGCAGAAGTCAGCTGGCCAGCATACACATGCGCGCTGGTCTGCTGACAGGACAATGCCTCATGTGCCAAGACAAATGGCTCCGTGTGCCACCTGTGGAACGGGTGCTATAGGTTCACCATCACGGAACTAGCAGAAGCTTCTTACATGCAAACCAAGAGTCTGTATAGAAAAAAGTTAAGATTGTTTTGCACATCATGGTAAACAAGCCATAGACATAATGACCAAGCAGCATTGGCATGTTTGTTTCTTCTCAGCATGCCAAAATTGCTGAAAATTCTGGTTTGCATATGAAAATGCTTCCATTGATTCCTGGCCAACCTCAGTTCTGAAACTAATATTTTTATTTGACAATGTAAACATTTATTCCTTTTTTTAAAGAACATGAAAATCTCTTCCCGGGGGGGGGGAAGATGACTATTTATCATTAATATTCAGATCAATATGTGAAGGATGTTTATTATAGTGTAAGAATTATACACAGGTCTTATGGATACCTTATAGTAAACTATTACTAAAACTTCTTAAAGAAACAAACACAGGGCAATTATGTTCTTAAACTACAAACATAATATAATCATTTCAAAAAAAGCCAAATCCTAAGCAGAATTGGATATAACTGAGCCATTTTTTCAATATAGTTAGGCACAGCATTATGTTTGCATAGGTATGCATGCACACCTAGTCTCTTTCAGGGCCAACAACTTTATCAAAGCACAGAAAACAATAGCAAGCAATTAAAAGATAGCTAAATCTAGTTTGCATGAAAACTCTTTCTTCCTATCTACCCTTCCAAACCACCATTGCTTTCACCACATTCATCCACCAATGCTGTCATTGCTCCTTAAATTTGTTACCTCTCTTCTGAGGATCTTCACACCATAATTTAAGTGTTCTTTTTACTTTTTCTAAAAAGTACTTTTGCTAAATTAGATATCCTATCTTGCATAGAACAGACTGAATATTTGTTGAATTTATTTGCTGCCTACCTCACCGTAGGGCTACTCTAGGCGGCTCACAACAATAAGGAAGAAAAGAGAATGAACAAAAAATAATGCAGCAATTAAATAAACAATGAAAAATAATACATTACAAAATACAACTACAGGATATGATTGCCAAAAAAGAAAGCTGGATGGATAGAGCGCAGAGAGTAAGGGGAAGGGAGGTGGATCTGCCATCAATGTAGCAGCTACTTCCAGTATGAAACTCCATTATTTGGATTCCAGGCCAACTGGTAGAGCTAGGTCTTTAGGCTCTTGTGGAAGAATAGGAGGGTGGGGAGGGCAAGATGCTTCAAAGGGTGAGCGTTGCAGACTTTTCTTCTGGATCCCAGCAGATGGAATTCTTTGACTGATGGGATCCGAAGTAGGCCCTTCCTGTTGGCATGAGTACGCCAGGCCTGTGTAAAGCTGTTCTTCTATTTCATATGTGGCATAATGGCTAAAATGAGTCAACATTGACTGATGTTGTTCTTATAGTTAGCAGGAATGCTGGATGTGGCATGGGAATGGCTAAGACAAATAGTCTAGTCTAATTTTTGCCACTAAAAAAAAGCTACATGAAATTTATGCCTTTTATTTTTAGAAGCCAACCCCATGTTGCAATGTTTGATTGCCAATACTTTTTTTCTGACGTTGACTATAAGATACCTCTCTTTTGTAAATATTTACATTTGCAAGGATTCAAGTGGAAAAGAAGAATGACTTTGCAAAAGATACTTATTAGGTATTTTATAATTTCTGTGAAAAAGTAACAAGATGTTATATGAAACAGGAAAAATAACAACAACAAATGCTTCCTTGTATACGTTTGAGAGCAATTGAGGAATTTCCTGAAGAACATTGTTCTGGCTACCGTTACTCCTTTCTACTACTATTTATAGAAAAGTATTAACTTAACCCCATAGGGTGCAGTTCAACTATTACATAAAATAAAGAGAAATGTTCAGTTATAATTAGTGCTTCAAAGTTTATTAAAATTGGTAGACATTATATACAGAACTGCCAATTACCAAACTCTTTGTGACTTACAATACATAATAGCTATTTACTTGTAACTTTTCCTCTATTGATATAAAAAAAATACAAGGTCAAAATTCAGGTGCTTGGCAACTAGCATGTTATTTATGACAATTGCCCTCTCCCAGGGTCATGTGATCACCATTTGTAACTTTCCCAGCTGCTTCTGACAAGCAAAATTAATGGGGGAATTTCTTTAATGACTGCATGATTCACTGAATAACTGCAGTGATTCACTTAATTGGCAAAAAAGGTTGTAAATTGGGGCAAAACTAACAACTGCCTTATTTAGCAATGGAAATTTTGAGTCAATTGGTCTTAGGTTGAGGACTACCTGCACACTGCAGCGCATACATCTAATTTTGCATTATTCCATGTGGTCCTATGAGATACAGCCCCAAGTCGTGGTTTCCATTTGCATA